ATTATTTTTTCTCTATATTTTTACATAATTTTTTCTAATTTGATTATGTTCATTTTTTAATCCTTAATTTTTATTATTTTGATTTAAAATGATGTATTGACTTTGTGATTATGTCTTCTTTGTTTTAGATTTGAGACACAAATATGAAGGGTTTGTTAGAAATTCTTTAGCTAAGCTCCTATAATGATTCAAATGTGTTTTTATTTGTATTTTTGTTTTTAATTTTTTGATTAACTTTTGGTGCAATTATCTTCTTTATAAAGGATCACTTATTTTCAATTGTAGTTGTGAAAGGTGAATCATGATGCTAAGATGCATAGATACCTATAATGTTGTTTGCACACTTTTAGATATTTAATATAAGCATGGCTACTAAATATTTACTCTGAATGTGTTTAGTCATTAATTCAACATACATACAAGTTGATTTAGTACTGAGTTGTAGTAAACTAATTTATGATTACTAATTAATTAGTTATTACAGATCTTTTCTAAACTCCACAAAATATCTTTTTTTAGTTAGAATTCTATCCCAAATTGATAGAATTGATTCTTTACTCTTATTCAAGAAGTACTTGGTTATACAATAAAAATACTTAGCATAAGAAGTCAAGTAATTTATAATTCAAAATTATTAATGAATTGTAGAAGAAAAAAAATGAAAAAAATCCAACTAAGGGTGTCACGAGACAATTGCACCCTAACATCACTAATCTTCCAATGTCTATAGCCAGGTGTCTAAAGTGATAAAAACTTTTAAAGTTGTAATAAATCACCTATCATAGCAATGGTATGAGAACAGGTTTGGAAAAGACTCTAAAGTATTGTGCCTATTGAAACAACCATTTCATATGTGAAAAGAGTTTGAAGAGCAATGGTTGTTATGGTTGAGAGAGAGATGAAGGAAAGAAATATTTTTGCACAAACTGATGATGAACGTCAGCGACAGACGGAGCAGAGGAATCCAAATGTTGCCCTTGCACTAGACCTTCCTGATTGCCTTGATCAGTAGCGCCGATACCAGCCAACATTTCTATTTTCTCGAAACACTGGTGTCTACCGACTAGATACGCTCCTCATTTAGCCTCTTGGGGGTGTGCAGATCGTGGGCATCCCGCATTAATCGAAGCCCAGAGGGATTACTGTAGTAGCACACCGAGTGACCTTCGACTTGGCTGTCTACCCCTACGACACTATACGTCATCACAACGGTATGATGCTCCATTACCACCGCAGCCTGTGCCTTGACTTTGACCTTCAGATACCAGCAACTACGTTTTCTTGCGCTGAAACACCGGCCTCCTGGATCAGCAGTTTGGAGGTGCATGGTTGCGTATGATCTGCGGGACAAGGCTCGGGTCGGGGATGAGTGAGTGCAGACGCTTGGGGTTAATTGTCAATTCGCAGCTTTAATCGTTTAGAGAGTGTCACAATTTCGATGTACTTTGCGGGGTGTGCAGGTGGAACGTAAGTATGTAGTTGCGGATCCGGTTGTAACAACATCACGGGCTGCGAGTGGAAGTTGTGGGAAAGGTTGCGCGGGACTAGAGAGTTGTGATGAGGCGCCTAGAGCCATTATCGACCTTGGTGAAGCTCGGTAATTTCCTGGCTTGCCTTTCATATCATGTGGAATCGGTTGTCGGGCGCGGTCCTGACATGCTACCGACGCGTCCGATCTGGGACTTGCCCAAGGTGGACTGTTCATTGTTTCGGAACGAGTCAGTACTGCGTCCATTGTTCGGTGTCTGACCTGAGGAAATTAAAGACGTTCCATATCAGTACTGTTGCGAATACGAGCCCAGCGCCGTGCCATCGTCCGGATTCGAGCTCAGCAAATACAAGTATGGCCCACATGGCGGAACGCTACAACCAGCGCCATGCCTTGACCTCGGCATTGTCGATAATGACGCCATGCGCTATAACTTGCTACATTGGAGATTCTGGAGGTTGCCCAAGAAGCAGTTCACCGCGCCCATGCTTTACTGCGACGTGACGGACATTTAGGCGCTGCGCTACCATCGGCTACTCCTTGCGTTGCGACGAGGATCAGTTTCCTTCGCACTTGTCTTTTTTGTGGTTGGAATCTCGGTGTTTCTCCCTTGATACGAAACATTCAACGCTCTTGCACGCAACCCTCATAGGAATGGATTAATCACGCCTCCGAAGAAAATCGACAAGGAGGAGGCACTTTCAGACACTTGCCACATCATGGTGCTATCGTTAGTGGGCAGTTTCCTAATGGAAGGCATAGCACATTCGTCGATTGAGGGATGGAGGTCGCAGCTCATGTTCAACGTGGCCGTTGTGTACACGTACTTGACGTTGTTGGCGATGGCATCCGCTGTAATTCGGCACCTGCTTTGTCAAAATCTGAAACATGGAGAGGACTGGCGATGGCAGAAGGTGTTCCGTCAGCTAGCCGCGCTGATTATGATGGGAATGTACCTGATGCTCGTGGAGGATGTGTCGGGGCGTAGCTTGGATCCCGTTACGGCTCTTGTTCCCGGGACTTGCGTAGGCGCTTCGTTATGGTCCGCAGGATCGGACATGGTCATCATCGGGGGGGGGGGGGTCTCTCGCAATGGGAAATCATGGACTGCTTGCGAAATGTACTTGCGAAATTTCATACTGATTACGTACCGTAATTACTCTATATAATCTACGGAGTACGTTCGTATAGTAATATGTACGGACTAAACAAGTAGTGACCTAAATACGTGGGGCTATGATTATACTAACACATGTCGTCATTTCACTTGGAGGTCGTGCACTCTGAGGAGAGTCATTACGGTACGTAATCAGTATATAGATACTCATTTATTTAAGTGTAATTTATTTTTTTTCCAATCATCATGTTGTATACAAGAACGTGAATTATACACAATAATATATATTTGTACACAATATATATATATATATATATATATAGATGTATATATATATGCACACAAAATTGGATTCTGTGATATAAATTTTATTTAAAGCAACCATCTCAAAAGTTTGACTTGGATTTGAACACAGTATAAACTCTGTTTTCTTTGTCATTAAAACCCCACTTTAAAACTGATTCTTCAAGAAAATTGTATGTCCATGTGCAACTTCCAAAGAAATTTATGGATTTATGGACCATTTTAAAAAAATCTTCAAGACCGTTTGTTTCTGTTAAACTTCGTGAAATGTTCTAAAGTTCTTTGATCTTTTTTCAAATTTAGTTGTGTGCTATTAAAAAGAAGAAGAGTAAGAGGAGTACTCTTAAGAATCTTCTGTATTATGTTTGATAATCTGTTGCAACACAAACAGTTGTGTAAAGTATCATACACATTTATCTTTAAGTTCCTATTTCATGTTTATGAAATTCCTTTCCAGCAAGTTTTAGCTAAAGAATTTATACAAACATAAAAAAAAAACGCACAATCCAAAATAAATAGTTTTTTAAAAAACTAATTTATACATATCTCTTAATATTTACAAATGTGAACTTATATTTACATTTTTATTTTTGATATGGATGATTAAAAAATCTAATTCCATCCATTTAGTTTAATGTGATTTAATTTTCCTCAATTTTGTTGAATTTTTTTATTGGAATTTGGAATTTTATAAGATTTAAAACCATCAATTAATTTTGTTTAAAAAACAAGTTTACTATCATTTAACTTCAAGATCTACTTATTACCAAAGAAAATGTACCATATGCTTTGAACCATTAGTGGGGTTCAAACATGGCACTTTTGCAAATCCAAATAACTAGGATTTAGCGCCTGATATTTCCAAAATCACTCAAAATATCAAAACCAAATTCTCACCATTCAAACTTTTTCCTAAGCTAAGGCATGGTGTTAGATGGTGTGGTATGGAATCAAAGACGGAAGAAAGCTAAGGCAAGCAACATGGCCCTCTTTTGATATTTCGATTTCATAATCACCTACCTTGAGTGATTTGGTGAAGTATCAAATGTCATTTTGAAATATCACAAGATACTTCAAGATCTCATCATAGGTGAAATATCACCCAAAAAGGCCATGTTTGAACCTCCTATTATTTTAACTTATAAATGTCATTGTTAGCCAATTAATTTATACGTTTTATATATTATCCCAAATACAACTTTTTATCTAACATGTGAATATAAATATAAATATATATAATTTAGCTGAAACATATGTAATTGGGCACAGAACTATTTATAGATAATAAACTGGAGATCTTTCTGCAAGTTATGCAGGGGCTTTCTGAGAACAAGAACGAGAAGGCTTCTTTGTCATATACCTACACCTAATCTGTGTCGCAATATCATATCGCCCTTCTCACAGCATGGAGATGCAATAGAGTGGAGCCCCGTCGCCGAGGGTAACATCTAACGAGGAGGAGGAGGATTCTCCACTATTCTCCAGTTGCCGCGACCTTCTTCCATATCCTCAAGTTTGTAGCTACGCCTTTGCGCTTGAATTGCTGCGATGGTGATGATGGGTTACTTGATATTCGGGCGTTAGTCAAGGTTTTGGGGGATTAGTTGCTTGTCTAGGCGCTTCAAACTGTAGAGTTAGGGTTTCGATTTCATAGAAACGGGCTTGGAACAAGATTGAATCAGAGCAACAGTTATTTGGATAACTTCCTATTTCCCCGTGTAGAATAACTCCGTCACTTCCACTTCACCTTTCTCCTCGTTTTCGTCTCTAAACTGAGATTCTGTCTTCTTAACATTTATAGCTGTTTGCTTCGCGAAAATTTTCGTTTATCTTTTCTAGAAGCCAGTGATGTGCTTGCGAGAATGTGATATACGAACAAGATCGTTTTCATGTTCGTGCTCACAGTTTTTGGAAAAGAGAACCAGGGAATAGCAGAGTTTTCAGCCGTGTTTAAGCTAATCTGCTACTGTAAGTGCCGAAATTAGTGCTGGGATCGATTCCTTCCATGTGCGCGTGTTTGCGAAAATCAGGTAACGTAATGAGTACAAAATTGGAATGATGTGAGTTTACCGCATGGAAAAGCCAGCCATGGAAGTACTAAAACGAGCAGATCAGAACTTATTACTTCATCAATCTTGTTCAAAGATACAATTGTGTCACATCAGTAGACACGATCCGACTGTGACGTTAGACCCTCTTACAAAATTTACAATTGCAAGCAGCAAAGCTTCTCAGCAACCGGGTTAGAACCATGGAAAACCTATGCTAGAATGCATATCTTCCCCGGTTTAAGAAGAGCTTTTACGCTCACTCCCTTGCATCACCACCAATCACTGCAGGTTCTGAGCTCTCAGAGCCGCCGGAGTTCCCTGGGGAGTTACCCTGCAGGATTCCCGCCGGAGTGGATCGCTTGCCTCCTGTCTCGTCAACCCCATAGGTGCTGCCCTGGGGTGAGCGGTACGCACCAGCAGGCTCATCAAGCCTGGGCGCTCCGAGGATCAGTCCTCCTGAAGCCTGAGAGTTAATTTTCCCAGCCTCCTGCACTGAGTTGCTCTTTGCAGCACTGAATCGCGAAGGCTCTCTAATTCCTGTGGTCACAGCGTCTTGCGTTTCGCGTTCTGTACCTTCCACCTTCTGCATGGCAGCGTCGGCATTCCCAGCCAAAAGCGCCACCCCAGCCAACGCCACAGCCGTGCTCATCAATGTGCTAAGCTTTGGTGCGCTCTCTCCAGCCTGAATATTGTCCAACATGCTCAAACCATCAACCATTATGCTCCTTCCACTCAGAAGCAAGTCTGGAACTAAATACAAACCTTGAGCACATATCTTGACAATGCACGTATGTATAGTACCATGATCCCATTATTGCAACTGCTCTGCAACTCGGTTACAACATTGGAAATGTGTTCAAGCTCTGGTCAATAGAATCTTGCAATGGAGAAGAGTGAAAGACACTGACCGATTCTCGCTGAGATGCAGCGGCAGTCACAGCAACTCGAGATTTCTTGAAAACAGCTCCAGAAGGGGAGCACACCTTCAGCTCCTGCCCTTGCTGCCATGTCGCTCCCTGATTCTGCCCAATGACTGTCAAGGAAAATACAGATGTGAGCTCTGCTACTCCTGCCGACATTGCCATAACTTGCAAACAACGATACTGTACTTGATCAGGCAAAATTCTAGAGCCGGTATGTCTGCACAAGTGTAAGCGATTAATTTGCAAACGATTACAACACTTTAAATTGCAAAGAATGAACTGGGGTGGGTATATAACAAAGCCCCAGTGATCAGATCCTCCAATGCTGGGGGAGAACGGCAGTCAAGGTGGCGACGAAGGAGGGAAACCAAGTGGCATCCAGGAATGGCCCAGTTCATGCAGACTTCCCACGTACTGGGCACTTTTACAACAAAAACAAGCCTAGGCTTATCTTCCCATCGATTTGATGAGAATATGATGGCGTATGTCCAATGACAATCTGTGCACAAGATTCACGGTAATCGAAACCAAAAATCCGGTAATGTTCGACAAAGTGCTTCCAATCCTAAGGAGATCCATTTTTCAAGAGAATTCCGCACTTCAAACCAACTCAAGGGTGGTGTCATGTAGGGTGTCTAGTAGACTGATGGTTGTGGAGACATTCGAAATCCTGTTGAGAACCAGCCTTGGATAAACCTTGCAGGATGATAAATGTACATTAGAGTACTTTTAAAAACACGCGACGATTAATTTGTCTCATTACACCATGTGAACTTCGGAGGGCTTCAATACAAGATGAATGCATCCACGTAAGCATATTTCATTCGACTTGATGAAAAGCAGAAATTTATGCCGTAGACATCAGATGTATTGACTTTTTCGTTGTGAGGACATCGGACAGAAACTTGGAGTGAAATACGCCGGGAAAAGGACTCAGCAAATGCTCTGAATCAAGTTGCTGAAACCAAAATCGACACCTCTGGAACCATTTAGGAATACTCAACGACTGCGACATAATAGTAGTCGCATACAAACACTACTCACCAACCCACTCTAATTACATCTTTGCTGGTTTACAGACAGCAATTCCACAATTCCCAAAAAAACAGACAAGCAACCAGGCTGTCATTTAAAAGAGTGGTAAAAAAAAACCAGAACGAACTGTCTTGGAACTTCAATACAGAAGTGAAGTGCCCATGTGATTCATCAACAATAAGTACCAAAAGAACACTTCCTTTCATATCATGGCATACTCCAGTGAAAGATGCAGGTGAAAAACCATATTCTAAGCGATCCCAGAAAGAAACAATTGCATTGATTTCACTGCTAAAAAACCCATGGATCAATAGGGAAAATCTCAATCCTCTTCTTCAGCTTCCTCCAACCACTTCACAAATGGCTCCAACCCCTTCACGAATGTTTGCCTGCCATCACAACCATCGCTTCAGTACACCCACTTCCACTCCTTCAACACAAAAACACTCGCTACTCAACACCGTTACCCACCGCACTCAAATTATCACCGTCCTCACCTAACCCCCTTACCTGCTCTTCGGATTCGTCCCCTTCTTGAACCACTTCAATATCGTGTCCTCCGCCAATACATCCTGGTTATACAGCGCTCGAATGATGTCCGGAAACAGCTTCATCAGCTTCGCATCCTCGTAGCAGTGGATCTGAATATTGTACATCAGGTCCATCTCCAGCCTTGCCGTAGTGCAGAACGCCCCCAACAGCTTCCCCCACTGCTTCACCTGCCGAAGCGCCAGGTTCGAATTCTGCTGCTGGTTCTTCCCGCTCCACTGCACGGCATCCATTATCGCATCCCAGATCGTCCGCACCACGTCCACGTCCGGCAGCATCGCTTCCTTCCGCCTCTGCTTCACCATCTCCACCACATCATTCACGTTCACATCCTCCGCGATCTGATCCGTCATCGTTGTCAGCAGCTCCTTCAGCTTCACATCGAACACCTTCTTCGTGTTGTACTACACCAACACACCCAGCCCCTCCTTGCTGCAACACCCGCCAACAAACCCCACCCTTCACTACAGGCTTTCCACAACCAACGCTCATGTTCTCATCGCGACACACCCAACCATCCACTCCTATCCATTCATCACCTACCACCATTTCTACATGACCTCACTGCACGTGAGCACTTCACACTTCTATGTCACCCCCGGAAACCCATTCATCTCAGCGGGTGCAGTGGCCGTACTCAAAGTGCTCGGCGAACGCTTCGATAGACCGCTTCTGCATGGGAAACAGGTCCAGCAGCCGGTCGTCCATCTTCGCGCGCTTCAAAAGACTCACCAGGTCATCCAAGCTGTTCTCCACCAGGTACACCTTGAAAACATCAGTCACGAAGTACAGCACAATACCCTTGGCGATCAGCGCATCGCTCATCAACGCGGAGAAGATTGTTTCAGGTGGCAGCCCGGACAGCTTCTGTGAGAATGTAGAGCCGTGAAAATGGCCAGCTTTTTGCGATCCTCGGGGCCATATAGCTCCTGCAAAAGGCAACGTGAATGTGGAATACATTGTGAGCAAGGGGCAAATTGACATAAAACAAGCTTTTGATGTACGCTGACTTTTGTTCATCAACTTGTGCAGTAAATCTATGAAAATGGAAAACGTATCCGGACGTAGTGCTCTCATGTATCAACACAGTGGAAACAGACAGTATTAATGACCTTTTGACTGAAGCATGAGGCTGGCATTGATAACTACAATTGTGTTGTAAATGACTTCTAGAGAGAGTGTCGACGAAAAAGATTACCAGGGATTGCAACAGTCTCTTCATCACATTCTCGAGAGTCTTGATCATAAAAGGCCTGCGCCTGATGATTTTTTGTAAAAACAACACAACCGGGAGGATGCTCTCCCGAGTGTCATCACAGTTTAACACGGAGTAGGGATGGCGTTCTCCTTCCTCCGGTTTGGTTGTTCCTGGCTGGTTGGGTTCTCCAGTAAAAACAACCTGATGGATAGAGGGGATAAGTTTTCGACACCGGAAACAATGGAAATACATGTTTCGAAAAAATCAATGAATATACAACTTAAACCCAAATACATCATCTGAAAGGTACGATGAAAAGAGGTGCGCAGTATTTGAATCCCAAAGAAAAGGATCTTACCTCAAAGAAGGTTTCGCCATATCTTGAAAAGTCGAGCTCTGATGAGTCCACATCCTTTGCAATGAGTTCCTGCAGAGATTTTTGAAGAACATTTAATAAAATAAAAAAAATAAAAAATAAAAAAAATCCTTGGAACTTGACAACGAACGTCAACATGTTCTTGACAGAAACTACACGCCCAACGACATACTCTAAAATAAGATTGACATTATAGAAAAGACAATAAGAAACCTCTGACATACCAAGTCCCCCTTGTGCTCGTTGTAGATTTGGACCACGGCATCTGCAAATGTTGCTGTGTCCAACGGAACTGCTATGTTGCGTTTGCGGGTTTTGATCCGCGTGCCACTGCGAGAAACCATTACAGAAAAAATTTCAGCTACAAGAATAGCTTTAAGATGATCAGAGCTAAGGTCTAATTTCTGGACTAATAGCGATAATCAAGGTCATAGATCGAATAGCTTCCATCCCATAGATGAACACTGTTTCGAACCGCTCATGCTACTTGTGATTACAAATAAACAAACAAGTGCTGAAATTCAAATAATTTTATTGAACATAGCCTGAAGCACATACCCAAGTGTCGGTTTCTCCTTCGAGCTGCAGAACAAGATTTCACAACAAAAAATCAGAGAAAAATATATCACAAGTCAAGAGCTACACCAGTTAATGAGTAGTTGAATCATTTCCATATCATAGAAAAGCTCATACAGACGCTGCTAACACATAAGAATGGTGGGGCAAAGCACTTGGACTAAGAGAAATGTACTCGAATAAGATAGCAAATCGCACATTTGATTGAAATCTATAACACCGAACTGCGAATTGACCCTGCCTTAAACCTGACAATTGTGAATAATCCTGAAGGCACATTCTATCTAAAATTGAAAATCGACAGCTGCCAGACGAAACTTCATATAGAACAGACACCTTCTCGACATACCACATAATAAAGCTCAGGAAAACACGGACATAAGATAGTAATATGTTGAAATCCACAAAAGAACTCCGAAATAAGAAGTCACAACCACTGAACCGAATAACAAACCCTAGATTCTTTCTAAGGTATTCAAGTCGCTACAAATCACTGTCGGGTAAACAGTAAAAATCCATTCACACCAGATACAAAGAGAAACACGAGACTTAATTCCCCATCCTCAACATAACCACAGAACCCACCCCAAACGCAACACACAGCCTCATCAGCACACTACCCCGCCCAAACAGCCAACCGCTCTTGGAACACCAAATCTGCAAACTCAAATTCATAAACACCCACAAACTAACACACCAATGAAACCAAACAACGTGCAGAGCACCGAGGATCTTACACATGACCCAACCAAGCATTCAACACTCAAACGTGAGCAAAACCGTACACAAAATCAAGCAAAGCAACCCAAACGAGGGCCGCCTCGAAGAATCCCGAAGAACCCAGCTCACAAACCTCATAAACTGAAGTGAGCGTACACAAGGGTGTTTAAAAAAAAGGTGCGCTGGGGAAGACAAGCACGCGCCAGAGAAAGAAGCTCCACGAAGCGGATCGGCTTGTGGAAGCTTGGCAAATCCAAGTGCACTGGGATTTGCACAGACCTAAGCTCGGAGCTGGCCAAGGGCGGTGTATGTGTGTGCACGCAGAACAGCAATTGATCACTCAGGCCAAACTTCGCCAGGGCTTCGTCTTCGTCTTCGTCTTCATCCTCTTCCTCTGCTATAGTTTCACCGCACGGTTTTCGTCCCGGTTTCACAGCGTGGTTATCTTCTCGGTTCCGCTGCGCGACTTTCATACGGTGCGCGGAACTAGGCTTACGGGACTTGTGGATGGTCCCTGTGCCACGGTGGCAGGCAACGCACTTGGCATGAACCCAATTCCTCGCAATCCAATGGCATCCACGTTCAGTGCTTGATCCGTTTATAGGCCCACTTTTATTGATATTTATTCATATTATCTTCTTCTGTGTTTATGAATTATATTTATGTTCTATATGTATGTGCCACCAGGTGAATTGTTATATTTCGTCCACTTTTTGTTTCGTCAACAGAATTGGGAAAAGGTAGATTTGTTGCGTAAACGGCATGGGCTATTGTTCATGTTTTCTATTGAGGTGTAGTTCCACCTGTTATTGTTTATTC